CCCCCCCCCCCCCCCCCCCACCACCACCAAAAAAACAAACAAAAAAAGACCCCCCAGAAAAAGACAATTGGGGAGTAACCTGGGGGAAGAGAATTCGCTTATCTTCCCTTTTCTTCTCTCCCTTCTTTTTCCCTTAACTTCGCCTACCCCTAATGAAAACCAAAAACACCATAAAAAGGAACACGCTACATTAATAATATTTGATACTATAGGTTGGAAAACACCCTACCCTTCAGTATTCACTCGAGTGAAAATCCAGACAAGTAATATTGAGACACAAGTAACAAAGACCTCATTATTCAGTTAATGTCATATGTCTGTTAACGATACACCTTGATTTTAATGAAGCAAATTGAGAAAAGAATACTAAAGAGATAAGAAAACAAAGAAAAATTACATAAACATATTTTCAGAACTCACTTCTGGAACTACTAGAAGAGATACACTAGCATAGAGAAGATCAATGGATATTCCACTGAATTTGAATTTCATCACAGGAACATGAGCATCTGGAACCGGTTGTAGTTCAGTTACTTCCTCCATCTCTGCCAAAATATCATGCAAAACAATGAAGAAGTCCTCCTGCAATAAGAAAGATTAGATTCAGCACAACTAACAACATTAATATTCCTATATTTGTGTATTGACATTGCTAAGGTATTCAAAAAGATGAAGGATATCCAAAAAGAAAAAAAACCTCTCGGTTGACATATGAAGGTCCAACACAAAGAGTATCAATGTCTGCCCCTGGTCCATGAACCTGCAGTGAATTTTTTTAATATAAATATTCCCATGTGAGCCTTTGAAAGATAATCAATATTATATGATTATATAATCATATACTGCATCAGTCATGTTTGAAGGTTCAGATAAACAAAGGTCAATATCCTTGGAAGTAGAGTATGCATGCCGATTTCAAGAAAGGACAAAAAAAAGATAACAACTGACCAAGCAAATAAAAGAACAGAAAAAGTTCAGACCACAGCTCAGAAAGAAACTTTAATCACGTCATTTATAGGCAGAAACTTTCATCAATTCAGAAAGACATTTTCATCAACTCATTTATAGGCAAAGTCCCTCCTCTTCCTCTCTCCTTCCCTTCCCCTATTGTTGCTTCGTGCTGGGTAAGCAGCAACTGTCTATGCAATGTACGTTACCCTAGCCAAAGACTATTTCAGGCGAGCTTATAGCATTCAGCAGCCCATCGATAGAGAAACTCACAAATAAAATGAGGTTAGAAACCATGACAAAGCTGAAACTGGCAAACACATTAGCAAGTACAGAAGAATCATCATTTGACATGATACAGACTAATTCTCCCATAAGAATGTCCAATTTGTAAAAGGAATTTAAAGAAGGAAGAATCCTATCTACAAGTTGACAAGTAGAGTAAAAAGAAAACAGAATAAGCAAGGGTGCGGATACCATCTTCAATGGAGTCCTTACTAAGAGAGGAAAATTACTAAGATAAGATTCGATGTGCATTCTACCAAATGAGACTTATAACAAATTACTTCAGCATAAAATCCGTCACAACCTAACTACAAGTCTACAATAAAGTTCCCTATTACAAACCTTTCTTCAAATTCAACGGTTTTCTTCAAGTTGAAATCATGAAATGATAACGTATGCCAACCAAGATTAAATTCATTAAAGGACAGGTTATATGGCAGTAAAATAAACTAGTTAAATGATTCAGCAGTACACCAATTATCACCAAAGACTAAATAGTAAGAAGTAGAAGATCAATATCAATAACAACCAATAACCATCAGTAACATTATAAAAATGTAACATTACTATCATGTCTTAACATAAATTTGCAAAGAAAAAATGACAGCAACGACAACATTTGAACAAAATGTATCTTTATCATTAATTATCACATGCAATGGAGAATAACTACCGAGTACAGGTTCAAAATAACAGCAACATACTGTTATAGGTTGCACACAGGTGATGTTCATAACTTCAAATGACACCTTTTCCAATTAATCTGCTTCAATTGTCTCCTTATTTATTGCATCTATTGCAGATTTCTCCAATACTCTTGAATAACAAAAATTGGATTATAAATAGGCATATGTCTTCCCTCTCTGCAAAAAGGCAATGCACCCACGACTCATTCGAATCATAACAAATAGGATAGGAATGGATGGTCACCAGTTAGATCTGCGCTTTCACCATCAAGTTTCACCAAAATAGCCTTTAAGATAACCTGAGATCTTTTTGAATTTTAAGTAATAGATGCAAAACTTAATTTTGAATAGGACCAGATGTTCTCTCAACATGATTTAAATTGTTGTAATGCCTGTCATGACTTCTCATCATTATCCTAGACACCCAATGACCTCATTTCTTCAATCTTCTTGACACGATAAACAAACTAACAACAAGGTAGGTAAGCACGGGATGCCTCAAAGCTAATTTACAAAAAGACCTCAGAATCTAAAAGACGCAACATGTTAAAAGCCAAGATAACAACACATACCTGACGTTAAAAGCTTCTTATTCTAGTTCCTAGGATGTTTTACTTGTCATTCATGAAAAAACAGCTAAAATTATCAACTTGAATAAAACTCGAGTTATTTGTTCTTCTTAATAATCTAAAAAAATAATGTCCTCCTAAGTACTAAAATAAATGATGGGGCTTAGTAAGCAATTTATCTTAATGTAGGTAAAATGCAAAAATCATTTATATGCTGATAGCATGATACAGAACAACCCGAAATACATAATCATTTATCTGTTGTCATACAATGATTTACTTCTGAGGGAAAAAATAGTAAGTAGAATAGAGCAGCTACACAAGACACCATCAATAACTTTCCCCCTAAACTAGTCCATCCAATATAGACATCGGAAACAATTTGCTCCTTCAAATTTAAAAATAGATTATGTTTCTCAGAAAGTAATATTTCAACTTACTCCTAAGCGATAAGAACCAAATGTAAAAATAACAGCATTGGCCTCCTCAACCATCTGATCAGTATACCCTCTCTGTCGAGTCAGTTGCTTCACCCACTCTTTAACAATCTGAAATATCACAAAATGTTTTAGTACCAAAAAAACTCAGACATGTAACACAGTATTTACATTATTCAGGAGTGATAAACATCTGGAACAAGAGTAAGAGAACATAATTGTTTTCTGGAAAGAAAAAAAAATGTACTGTGAAATGTGAGTCATAATACCGTAATTCCGTAAACATGTATCACCATAATTACAAAGAAAAAGCATCATCCTAATTTTACCATAAAGAGAATTTCCCCCAAAAAAATATTTTCAGACCTGATCAATCTGTCCCAATACTTCTTCTCTCTTAACAGCTTCCTCCTTGCTCTCGTAGAGTCCCACATCCACCAAGAACTTCAAAACAAAAACCCAAATTAACCAAAAAAATTCAGCATCGACCGAAGCTGAAATCTTTAACAAAAAGTAAGGAACATACTTTCTCCAATTCCACGCTTCTTTGCAGATCAACATCTGATGGCCCAGCAGTAGAGATCGGCTTCGTCACGCCGTAGTGCCTCGGCGCTTGATTCGTAACGTTCCCACCCTCAGAACTACCCATCCCAAAGCTGAAAAAGAAACCCCAGATAAAAGTAAACCTACCCAAATCCCTAATTCAATGATCAACCGGACCCTAGCAAAAATCCCCGATACCCGATGAGGAAACAGCCCTATTTGGAATGTTGATTGAGCATTCCCAAAGGAAAAAAGAAACGCAACATGAAAAAACAGCCCAGTTCCCAAATTCAACGATCAATTGAACCCTAACGAAATTCCCCAAGATCCTACGAGAATTATCCCTAGTTCAAAAGCATCAAGCAATTCGAGGTAAACGACGGTCGAAAGACCAGATCCAACCAAGATCGGCAACCGAAACCCTAATAGAAAAAAAAGATCGCGGCTTGAGACCCAATGACCAACAAAGAAGCGAAATTTCACTCGAAAAAGAAAACAAAATCCCCAAAATCGAAAAGACCAGATCGGGAAACGAAATCACGAGAGGGATTAGCCGAAACCCTAGAAATTGAGGGAAGGCGCACTTGGGGTGTCAGCGGCGGCGAAACCCTAAAACCGGGGTGGCTAGTGGTATTCTGGGATCTGGTCTTTTGGGGGAGGAGAGAGAAAGTGAAAGAGGAGAGAGAAGTGAGAGGGGCGGCGTTATCGGAGAGAGGAGGGCGGTCAGCGAGTAATTTTATCAAGGGATCAATAAAAAGGGAGGGATAGGTTCACGCGGTTTTGGTGAACACCGCTCTCCGGTTGGGATAGGAATCGGTGGTTTTGAGATAGGAGTAGGGATAGGGATTAAGGGGGGTGGGAATAGGAATTTGGGGGGCACAATAGTCTAGAAGCGTCGGCAGCACGCCCTTTGAATCTTCGATGCTTCGGGCGCTCGGGAGATATTTTTTTTCACTCTGTGGAGTTTATTCATATAAGTGCCTTAAAAAGATTCATATATAATTGCTCCTATAGAAAGAAAAAAAAGATATTTAAATTCCAATAGTGAGAATTGTAAATTTGTTTTAAAACGCACTTTTTTCTTTTTTGATGATGGTAAAAGCTTTTCATAAGTAGTATTCTAGGTAAGCATTTAATTGACGTAAATTTTACTTTAAGCAAAAAACGAAATTGAATAGCTTGCATGCTTTTTTTTTGTAATTAAAATCCGCCTATCCTTGATTTATATTCTAATTAAAAATAGTTGCATGGTCAAATGTTATTGCTTTAGAAAATAAAAAATGAATAAAAGAACCGTAAATATTAAATATTTAAGGAGTGTCTCGAACTGCCAAACACCCCTTATGTCACGATGCAAATGAAAAATGAAGTGTAGTTTTTATTTTAAAAACTAAATTATTACTAAATTATCAAACTATAAAAGCAAAAAGGACATCACAATTATTATATTGTTCATCATTAAAATTACATTTTCAATAAATAAAATATACTATAAGAGTAATCCCAAATTTTCCACTTTGGTGATAACTATTACATTTTTTCAGAAAATATTAATCTACATTGAAGTTTTATATAAATTTAACTTTTTGCATTCAAATTTCACACGATTTAGCCGAAACAACATTCAGAAATTGTGTTACCCATCTTCACAATTATTTTGAGTTTAACGCAAATATTCACCTCTAATTTACCATGGAAAATACAAAATTTGTGGCAAGCAACACGTAAAAGAGAGAAGACAGAAAAAATATCAATAGCAGATTGGAAACAAAATAAAATCGTTTTGTTACTTGTTCGGTGCACCTACACTAAGAAACAATGGAAGTGATTGATTTGATATCCATGTGAATATTTTGCTCCCACTTTTCTTTTCCCATTTTTGTCCTTTGGAAAATTTGATGAGGCATGGAGGTTGGTGGGCGAACGGGAGAGGCTGGTGCAGTGATTGTTGGCAAATGGCAGCAACGTTATTTTAGTCATTTCATTATTCGCTTTTTGCTTTTTTCGTAGATTTGGAAGTCATCAGTCAACCATTGTGAATTTTCTACAACGTGATGGGCTGAAAGTGGACTTGTCTTGTAGGCGTTGTTATTTAAATGGACCGGCTCCGTTTTGGGTACAAGGCTTTTATATTGGTTCCGTGGACTTAATTGTACAATTGGGCTTCCCCTTGACCTATTGACGTTTATTGAGGTAATTACATGATGCAGGGAGGAGAAAAAGTTTCGCTCCGCAGATACAGTCCTTGCAAGGTACAAAACCCTAAGTTATGTGTCTTATTTATGCAAATTATATTAAAAATTAAGTATTAAAAATAAAAATGTAAGAAAGGTCAGTGAAAATAAATTGTGGAATCAATAAGCAGAAAAATACTAAATTTTGTGCAAATATTAAATGAATTATTAGCCTTCAACCATAAAAAATAAAATTATTAACCAACTAATAATTGATGTTGGACATCAAATTTTTTTCTTACTTCACATGTGACTTTCTACGGAGGCTATCTGACATGATTTTCCCCCCCACAGTTAGGCATATATAGAACATCATAATAGTTGGCCTCTTTATGGAAACGAAAGTTGGTTTTCATTCAATAAGAGGGAACTTCATTATAAACTTCTCCACAAAAAAAAGAGAGAGAAGATACAAGCTCCCGACCAAATCCGGGAGTAGGACTTGGCAGTCTCCTGGCGGCAGCAGTTAGAGAATATTCCTCAGGGGTCTCAGCAACAGGCTCATCCTCGTCGTCACTCATTGCTAACTCTAGCTCGCCTCCACTTCTCTCAACATCTTTTAAGAGATTGAGACAGCAGAAGACGTGGGGAGGATAGAAGCGGTCGGGAGAAGGATAAGAGCTAGGAGGCACTAGCGAACTTAAGTAGTCGACTTCGACCTTACATGCCAAAGCCACTTCAACCCTTCCTAAGAGGCCATGGCACCGGTCATCGACCATCTTTTTTTATATTGCTCATAATCCAGACGAGTGAGCTTGTCCTCCAAGTCCATGACAAGGGCCGCAGATGCATGAATCTCTGATTGTTGTTCCTCGAAGTCCTTCCTCGATTTCTCGATAGTCAGGTGACTTGATCGAGCCTCTGCCTCAGCCGTCGCCCTTTGACGCTTTTCGGACTCAACCACCGCCTGTAGATGAGCCATCTCCCTTTGAAGATCATTGACGGTTCCCATCTACTTGGAAAACTGGATCCGAAAATTCTTCAGAAGCTCTTCCTTCTCATCTAGGCTCTGATGCTAAGTACCTTCTTTAAGAGCCAACTCGGCCTCCAAGTAGCGACCCTTTTCTCTGCTTCTTCCTTGGCCAACCTTTTCTAGGCCTACTTTGCCTGCCATTCCACGGAAGAGTTGTGCATATGCTCAAGTCAATTGAATAGAGCTTGCTCCAACAAAGTCCCCTGAGCCAAGAAAGCTTGGGGTGCCTAATGAATGCCAGCACTTGGCATCTCCCCTAGAATCCTCTTGTCAGCACCATTCTCCTCATGGTCTGGCAGAATTACAGCTCGCCCTTCGACGTCTTCGACCCCCACTGGCTCCTTACCAGGACGGCAAGATGACTCAGATATAGAACTGGGGCCGACAACATCCTCCTCGATTGCCAGGGCCATTGTCTCCCTGCCAGGAAAAGACTCATCTACCAGCCCCACATTTCCCAAGCGATTAAGCTGAGTAACTAGCGTACCCATTCTAACTGGTTGAGGCCTCGCAACCAGTTTGACTGGGCACCGCCTCTCGATCCTCGTCCTCTCCCTTAATTCGGAGGCAATTTCGGCTGCATGAGGCATCAAGCTAGCCACTTCCTCAGCTCCAAGAGCCTCCCTCAATTTCTTTTGGGGTTTGGCAGTGGAGCTTGGCCCCTAGGCCTCTGCACCCCTCTTGCAATTTTGCATCGGTGAAAGAGCAAGAGGACTCGACCTCGCCCGATCGCCAGTGGAAGACAAGATCATGGACATACCCACCGTTCGTAAAGGGAGTTTACAAAAGTTCGTAAAGGGAGTTTATCAACCCTGGCAAACTATTTATAGCATTCTGGAGATCCATGTGGGCTCATCTGAAGGCACAAGGTGTTTCGAAATAAACGTATGAGATCTGCCGTAGAATCTCAACCGTTTTATTCAAAACACAAAGCGTCGCCTCTTTACTACCCCATGCCTGGATGCTCGAAAATCAAAATAACCCCCATTTACTCCATGACGCTTCGATTCCTGGAATGGCGGTTCAACTCCCTACGTGACCTCAGCTAATAAGAACGGAGCTATGGCAGATATAGGGGTACCCGATGACATCAACCACAACATAAAGCAGAAGCTCTTTAGTTTCTCAAGTGGATTCACAAGGACAGAAAGCTTATCTTATTTCACTCGGACCCGGCTCAAGCCAACTCCAAGCGAAAATGGCCAACTGTTATGGTGTTCCCATTCGCTAGAAATATAATGTATAAGCAAAGCATTTATGAGTGCATTTTGACAAACAATGTCTCAATCAACTTAGTGGCCCAAGCCTAACAGAGGCCTCGACCCTGCCGACTCATCAAGTCAACATTCTTTCATGCCGACACGAAAGGCGGGATCAGCCGACCCTATCGTTGAAGACGACCCACTAAGGGCACTCGACCATTTACTCGACGACTCACGGAGATGACTTGATGAACATTCCCTGTCGACTAGATTAAGGAATAACCTCCGCCCCAAGTCTCTTCCCCTGAGCACATGTCAGCATCCCAGTCCACCTCGAACAAGTCTTATGTTGATTTTAGCCTGAAGGTCTTCATGACTTGTCAGCTGTCCACGTGCCTTCTGCTACGCTCTTAATCACTTCCAGAAAATATGGAGACAACCTCTCTCTTACCAAAGTGAATTCCCCTCTAGTCATCAACCGAAACTTGTAAAGCGAGGGATGACTTAGCTTGTCAGCGTGCCTTCTACCATGCTCTCAATCACTTCCCAAAAAATGCCGAGACACTATCTCCCGTACCGAAGCGACTTCCCCTTCAGTCATCAGCTGACACCTGTAAAGCGAGGGATGACTCGGCTCTTAGCCTGTACTTCGCCACCGCCTCCTTATGCTTGGATGAATATGACCCATTGATCCCCATCATGGTGATATATACATGTAGACCCCTAACTAAGGGGGGCTCTGGCTCTCGCTCTCTCTTTGGCTTTGGCTCTCTCTCTCTCTCTCTCTCTCTCTCTCTCTCTCTCTCTCTTAGAAAGAAAAAGAATATATATTTCTTCATATACACAGAGGAGCTCATATAGACCCTCTGTAACGGCACCTTGCAACCTCAAGAACCACCTCGATTCCTAACCTCCCTCTTCCCCACTCAAGTTTTACTAACTTGATCATCGGAGGAACCACGGGGGAACCGGTCACCGCCCTCTCATGGGTTCTTCTTGTCTGTGCAGCATGGACTTTAACCTCTAATTCAAGAACCAGGCATAAAATTGAAGGAGGCGGCCCCTTAATCAATCTCCTCTACCCCATCATAGCGAGGGCTTAGGAGGAACTGATCCTGCCCCAGATCTATACATATCCTCTTCTGGATATGATTGACTACTTGATCTAAGTCATCACCAGGCGGTGACCTACTTGACGCCGAAAGGGATGCGCTGGATCAAATCAAGGTAAAAGCTAGCTCTCGTTGAGTTGAGCACCTGCTTGACAACTCGGTCTTGCGGGTTGCTAATGTATCTTTCGTGCCTCCCTCCATTAAGGACCAGAAGAGGGATTCAACTCTGATCTCAGGAATGGTGGAAGTGGCATTGGCATCATCTGCTCCTCTGGCTGACCCCCAAGAAGGGACATCAACAAGGCCTGAAAAGCT